TACTACTGGTATTGCTAGTACTACTGGCATTTCTACTACTACTAGGACTTCTACTACTACTACTACTACTACTACTACTACTACTACTACTATTACCATTACCACTACTACTACTACTACTACTACTACTACTACTACTACTACTACTACTGCTACAGCTACTACTACTACTACTACTACTACTACTACTACTACTACTGTTACTACGACTACGGCGACTACTGCTACCTAAAGCGACCACGACTACGATTGCACCTGCTACTACTACTACTACGACGACGATTACTACTACTACCACTATTATTATTACTACTACTACTACTGCTACTGCTACTGCTACTGCTACTGCTACTGCTACGACTACTACTCCGACCACTATTACTACTACTATTATACTACCACTACCACTACCACTACTACTATTACTACCACTAATAGTACTACTACTACTACGACTACTACTACTACTACTGCTACTACCACTACTACTACTGCTACTACTACAACAACTGTTAGTACGACTACTACTACGAATAGCCATACTGCTGCTACTACTACTAATACTTCCACTACCACCACTACTACTACCACTACTACTGCTATTATTACTACTACTACTACTACTACTACTACTACTACTATTACTACTATTACCATTACCACTACTACTACTACTACTACTACTACTACTACTACTACTGCTACAGCTACTACTACTACTACTACTACTACTACTACTTCTACTACTGTTACTACGACTACGACGACTACTACTACCTAATACGACCACGACTACGATTGCACCTGCTACTACTACTACTACGACGACGACGATTACTATTACTACCACTATTATTATTACTACTACTGCTACTGCTACTGCTACTGCTACTGCTACGACTACTACTCCGACCACTATTACTACTATTATACTACCACTACCACTACCACTACTACTATTACTACCACCACTAGTACTACTACTACTACTACTACTACTACAACTGTTAGTACGACTACTACTACGAATAGCCATACTGCTGCCACTACTACTAGTACTTCCACTACCACCACTACTACTACCACTACTACTGCTATTATTATTACTACTACTACTACTACTACCACTACTACTACTACTACTACTACTACTACTACTACTACTACTACTACTACTACCACTACTACTGACTACTACTACCACTACCTGCGACTACTACCACGACTCGACTACGACTACGAGTACTACGACTACTACGACGGCTACTACTACTAGTACTACTACTACTACTACTACTACTACTACTACTACGATTACTACTACTACTACTACTACTACTACTACTACTACTACTACTACTACTACCACTAATATGTCTACTATCACTACTACTACTACTACTACTACTACTACGACTACTACTACTACTACTACGACTACTACTACTACTACTACTACTACGACTACGACTACGACTAATTCTGCTACTACTACTACTACTACCCTTACTACTACTACTAATACTACTACTACTCCGACTACGGCCAGTACTCATATTACTACTATTACTACTACTACTACTATACTACTACTACTACTACTACTACTACTACGACTACTTCTTCTACCACTACCACTACTACTATTTCTACTACTACTACTACTACTACTACTACTACTAATACTAATACTACTGCTACTACTACTACGACTACTCTTACTATTACTGATACTACTACGACTACTACTACTACTACTACTACTACTACTACTACGACTACTACGACTACTACTACTTCTCCTACCACTACCACTCGTACTAGTACTACTACTACTACTACTACTACTACTACTACTACTACCACGACTACTGACTACTACTACTACGACTACTATACTACGACGACTGGTAGTTACGTGGCTACGACTACTACTACTACTACTGTGCTGGACTGGCGCCCCTCGCGACTGAGGAGGGTCTTCAAGTGGGCTGGGATCTTGGCGAGGCTGCGTTTCCAGCCCAGCATGTGCAACTTTGTCCCACGGTCAGCCGTTTGGAGTGATGAGATACAGGAGAGAACCCAGCGCCGCCTCTCGGAGCTGGGGTCGGAGTGGAGCACTTCGCCATTTTGAACAGGGCCACCCACCTGGGCTTCGAGACGGGGCCGTCGGTCACCCTGTCGGAACACGGGTGGTGCGATCAAGAAGTGGGAGGTGCGTGCCGCGCGATTCCCAACACGTGTGCTGATGGCTGGACGTCGGCTGGGCTGTATCGTCCCAGGGCCATCAGCGCGCTGGCCTACAAGTCATAGCTGGCTCCTTTCCCACCCAGCCGCTTCAAGAACGAGATGGCGCTGCCCACGCGCTTGTTCAGAGCGTCAGAGGCCTGGGTGTCCAAGGCCAACTACTTCCATCTCGTCGAGCTCGGGCTGCCGAAGATCCCGAGTGTAGAAGTTACGACGCTTGCGGTTCGGACGCGGTCTGCGTCCTACACGCTGACACGTTGGCGGGAGATGATCGATGGAATGGTGACCCACGCGCGCGCTCTGGTGCCGTCATCCAGGTGGTCTGCCTCGGCGTGCTGGCCTGTGGTGGCTGAGCCCCGCGCCTGCGGCGGCGCTCGACGAGGCGGCTCGCGCCTCGTCCCTGTCCGTGGGCTCTCGCCGCTGCCGTGCTGCAGAAATTGTGCTGCGACAGGAGGCAATACTTCTGCATCGCGGGCTGCGGAGGCCATCGCAGCCAGCCTAGCTGATGCTGCTGTCTCCGGCTCGGCCGTGCCTCCGCCGCCCCCGCCCGTCCCTCGCACGCAGCTTTTGCTTATTGCCTCCCTCACTCGCTCCCTTTTCCGGAAGTCTGTAAAGTGCTGCATTCGGGAGCGAGTTGAGCGGTGGTTCGGGGTCGAGGGTGGAGTTTTCGATTCGCGGGTGGACTGGGGGGTTGGGGTGTGTGTTGGGAAAGGCTCCTCCCTCGTGGCGCTTGGGTGCCTATAAGACCTGGACGAGCGGGTGGAGAACGGCCACTAAGACCAGTAATGGCGTGGGCGTGGGTGTGTCCTCGGGTGCGGGAATGGATCGGACTCGCTGCGCCACCACACTTCGTGTGCCCGCCTGTTTGAGTCATGATGGTCTTTTCCGTGCTACTGTTTTCCTCTGGAGGTCGACCCTCTTGCACGTCTCATCATACTTGCCGTGTTACCTTATGTTTCATACTTCTTCCGTGTTACCTTCTTGCTACTGTTTCCCTCTTGCCGTGTTACCTTCTGTTTCATACTCATCGTCTGCTGCACGCCGAAGCCAACAGGCAGGGCTGCGCAGTATTTCCCTCGGCGAGGCACGTGCCATCGGCAGGGCTGCGAAGGTAGCCACCGATCTGCCCCAGGAATGGGTGGGAGGAAGGGTCATCATCAACGCAGCGCCGCCTTCTCCTCCTCTCTCCTCTTCCTCCTCCTCCTCCTCCTCCTCCTCCTCCTCCTCTTCCTCCTCCTCCTCCGACGACGACGACGACGACGGCGACGGCGACGACGAGGACGGCGACGACGATGAAGACGGCGTCGCAATTTGTTTGGGACTTGGGGCCCACGGGGATCTCGACCCCTTCCCCGAGACGGGCTTTTTATCCCGAGCCGTTTCTGACGGCCCCGTGGGCAAACGACATCCAGAGGCCGAATACGTAGAAGCGCTGGCCAGCCCGTCTCGAGGGCGACGCCCGGATCTCAGGGTCCCCCTCCTCCTGCCTCCTCTTGTTGCTTGCTGCCTCCTCCTGCCCCCTCCACGAGCGTTCCGATTCGATGCGATTCGATCCCGAGTTCGCCGGGTTCGATCCCACCAGTGCAAAGCTGCCCGATGCTTGCCTGACGCTGTTGTGAGTCTTGCCGCGGCCGATCCGATTCGATCCCGACCCCGACCCGATGCGACCCGATCCGAGGCACACCCCGATTCGCCTGGATGTCACTGGTCGATGCGGACTGATCTTGCCTCTCGCTGCCTGCTCCTGCGTTCGGGCTGGAGGCATCCGACTTGCCAGTCGTGCGAGAGCGCAGGCGCCTTTGCATCCAGCTCCGGCAGGCCTCCGAGAACCTTGAGGAAGGTCTTAAAGGTAGGAGCGGTTCCGATGGGGAAGCTGTTGCTGAGGTCTCTTTCGAGATTGCCTTCTCAGAGCCAACCCATGCCGTACTATACCTCCTGCTGCCTGATGGTATCTGCTGCCGGCGCCGTGTTCTGTTCGCAGCGTGGACCCCCAGAGGTTTGTAAACCATTTCCCCAAAGACCAGCAATTCACCCCAAGATGTTTTTTGACGACCCTTGGTCAGGAGGGAAAAAACACTTAGACACAAGTAATCGTCGATTCCCAGGAAAATATGCGAAAATATAGAAAGTGGGGGAAAAGAGAAACCCTGAAAATATGTGAAAATATGGGGATCCTGTTATTTGTGTGTATTTATTTGTGTGTCACAGGGCCTCTTCAAGAATAGCTTCATGTCGTGTTTTTTTCCGCGACGTTGGGAGGTCCAGGGCTGCCTTCGGGTATCCGCGCGACGGTCCATGCCCAGCGGGCGCGACGCTGTGCGTTCGCTGGGCATCTCCTCCTCCCTCTCCCCTCCTCTGTCCTCCTCCCTCCCTCCTCCTCCTCCTCCTCCTCCTCCTCCTCCTCCTCCTCCTCCTCCTCCTCCTCCTCCTCCTCCTCCTCTCTCCTCCTCCTCCTCCTCCCCCTCCTCCTCCTCCTCCTCCGCCTCCTCCTCCTCCTCCTCCTCTCCTCCTCCTCCTCCTCCTCCTCCTCCTCCTCCCTCCTCCTCCTCCTCCCTCCTCCTCCTCCTCCTCCTCCTCCTCCTCCTCCTCCTCCCTCATCCTCCTCCTCCTCCTCCTCCTCCCTCCCTCCTCCTCCTCCTCCTCCTCCTCCTCCTCCTCCTCCCTCCTCCTCCTCCTCCTCCTCCTCCTCCCTCCTCCTCCTCCTCCTCCTCCTCCTCCTCCTCCTCCTCCTCCTCCTGGTGGGGGCTCGGCAGGCCGCCGTGCCCGCCGACCCGGGGCCGCTGCCCGAGGGCTGGCAGGAGCCCCGCGCCCTGATGAGAGTCGAGGAGCCGCTCGGAGCAGCAAGAAGCACAGGGACCATCTGAGACGTTGTAGGGAGGGCCCTGCCATCGCGGGTCGGGGACAGGGACGAGTCCACGAAAGTGCGTCTGCAACCGCCACCACGCAGAGCGTAGTGGACATCTTCTGGGGGAAGGTTCGCGGGTGCTAACGCCATGTGGGGCGTTCCAGAAAGGATTTCGTCTTCGAGAATCGAAGGGGTTGCCAGCTCTTCCTAGGCGGAAGGCGGCGGAAGGTCGGCAGACGATGGCGGAAGTAAAACGGGAGCGGCTCCGCTGGCGGAAGGCGGCGAAAGGCCAGCGGAAGCCGGTGGAAGCAAAAGTCGACCTCCCAAGAGATGACAACATTTTTGTGTTCTCAGGGTTTCTGGAACTCGCCATCTGGAGCCTGCTGGGGGTATGAGGTGGCCCAGTACTGGTTCCAGCCAGCAAGACGGGGGGTGAAGTTCGAGGTCTTGGGTTCGAGAAAGCGAATGGTTTTAGGTGGTTTGCCTTTTTCGGTCTCTGAGTGCCGTTTTCGGGCACCGGGGGCATCAAAAACGGCTCTGGGGTGAGCTACACCCAATGACCCCTGGAGGGGTCCGGAAACCGATGTTCAACGGATTTGGCTTCATTCCCCTGACCGATCGTCTGGGGTCACAACCAGCCTCCAAGAAGCACGGGGACCATAACCAAGATGTCGCGGGATCTTGTTGATGCCGATCTTGGTCATGGTCCGTGTCGGCCGTCACCGAGTCACGAGGATGATCCACGAATTTACCCCGACCAAGATGGACCGTGACCAAGATTGGCACAACGTTGCCGCGTTCAGTATTGGTTGTGGTCCCCGCTTTCTCCCCCTCCGCACCAGATGGACACGCTCCACAGTTCACCGAGGCTTCCAGGATGTCCAGGACCTCCGATTGTTCCGCACGCGGGCTCCAGAGACGAGGGCCGCCAGCTGCTCCGGCACTCCTGGACCGCACCCTAAGCCTTTGGAGTCCCGAAACGGCGCGGTGACAGACCGTGCGGTGACCTCGAAATCCCCCAAGACCTCACCGCACGGTCCGTCAACGCACGGCTTTGGGACCTCGGATGCCCCAGTCGCCCGAGACATCCTCGGAGAACGACCCGAGTCCCAAAAACCGTGCGGTGACCCCGAATCCCCACCGACTCACCACACGGTGTGGTCACCACCCGTTAGGGGACCCCCGAGAGCCAACCGCATCACGACACCACTCCTCGCCCGAGCCGCGAGAGGCGGTGAGGGCCGTGGGCCGGCCTGTTTCGGGCGGCGCGCCCAGGCGGGAAGGCAGCGGGGGCGGGGCGTCCCAGAAGTCTCGGAGCCCGGACGTGCTCGCGTCGCGAGAGAAGAAACACGACGGGGGTCCTCCTCCTCCTCCTCCTCCTCCTCCTCCTCCTCCTCCTTCTGCTCCTCCTCCTCCTCCTCCTCCTCCTCCTCCTCCTCCTCCTCCTCCTACTTCTGCTCCTCCTCCTCCTCCTGTTTTCGGCCTCCGGGGGCCCTCGCAGGGCCGCGGGACCGTTAAGCAACCTCAGAGAGGAAGCTCAGGCCCAGGAGAAGGGGTATACGGATATCTTGGGCCCAGGCTGCGACAACAGCGCGACGTCGGAGTTTGGGGGAGGGGGGGGGCCTTTGTCAGAAGGCCCAGAATCAGGCGATCGCAAACATGGATTAAGGCGGCGTGGATTAGCGGCGGGCCCCGCTTCCATGGGACATCGCGGATTCCCGCCGCCGAGCGAGGCGGCACCGGCCGCATTTTGGGGAGGGCACCTCCCCGGATCCATGGAGTAGGCGACCGCGCGCCAAATCCGTGGATCGCTAATCCATGTTCGCGCGCCCCCGACAGAAGGCTTCCAGCCTGCTGAGCAGCTTGCTATAAGAGCCCCCATCCGGAGTCAGGAGGGGGCGTCTCGGCAGGCCCACGGGCTTCTCTGAGGAGCCCCGGCCGCCTGGAGGCGCTGAGTCGGAGGCAACGCTAGGTTTAAGTCGGGCCTGTCACAAGAGGAATATCCAACAATAGGCAAAACAAATAATATGGGGACGATGTATCGATTATTGTTTATAATGTTTGAGTATGTGTTGTTGTTTGCGCGTGTGTTTGGCCATGTTTGAGTTTGTGTTAGAGTATCTTTTATTTTTCGTCGAAAATCCGCCTGTAGGGGGACATGCCCGACCAAGGCTGAGTCAGAGGCAACGCTAGGTGTGGATAAACTCAGGGGGGGGGCATCGACCCCCAGTCGCCCACTCTCGAGGAAGAAAAAACGCCATGAACCTAAACTTTTGGCGCTCCGCGCGGATTTCTTGGATCCGCGCCTCGGCCCCCCCGGCGGCGCCTCCCGCGCCGCCCCTGGCGCGCTCCGCGCGCCAGGGAGGGGGTCCAGCGCAGATCCGAGAAATCCGCGCGGAGCGCCAAAAGTTTATGTTTAGGGCGTTTTGTTCTGCTTCTGCACTCATCGCCGATGGGGGGGGGGGGGGGCCTGATGGCCCACCCCGCCCAGGAAGATGCGGTTTCGCTACTGGGGTCAAGGCAGGCCTGTCCCTTGCAGGGAGAATACCCCAGAAGAATCCAAAAAAATAGTCCCGGGACGATGTCTTGACAAGTGTTGAACATTTTTGGCGCGTTTGGGGGTATGTTTTATCTTTCGTCCAAAATCCGCCTGTAGGAGGCCACGCCCGACCTAATACTGGGGGGGGCTACAGTGCGGGCGCGGCCGCAAGAAACCCTCGCAAGAAACCCAACCCTGAGAACCCGTGCACGAGGTACACCTGAGGGGAAGCCCGGAGCACCCTGAACGCAGCAGCTCCTCCAACGGCTGCGGCTGCGGGAAGTCACCGCGCAGCGCGAGGAGCGAAGGAACCCAGGATACCCTGACGAAAAGCATATGGTTCCCTGCTGCGCGCTCCCCAGTGTGTCGCCGAGACCTGTCTGCGGCCAGGTGTCCCGAGATCTTCGCGTGTCGCGCCGACGGCTCTCGAGCCCACCGCGCCCTCGGCGCGCGACACGCCGGCCACGCCCCCGCCCCCGGGCGTCGACGCCCCGAGACCCCCTCGGGCGATGAAGAGATCACGACGGGGGGCGTTCTGCCATGTTCGGCCCCTGGGGGCCCTGACCGGCCCCGGCTCTCGGGGCCGTCAAGAAACGACTCCGCGTGAGAAACCGGTCCAGGGGAATGGGTCGAGACCTCCAGGGGTCGACGTTACGAAGACATCATGACGTCGGGGGTCTGAGTCCCAAGCCTTCATCAGCCTAGCGTCCCGCGCGGAGCGGAGCGACACGCCATCCGTTCGAAAAGCATGGCGTGTCGCAGGGGCCGCCGCCGCGACACGCTGAGCAAAAGTTCCTCACCGGAGACATCCGGGGGTTCCACGATGGAAAAGATCACGACGGCGGGATCTATTTCGGTGAATCGATTCAATTATGATTTCCCAGGCTCGATCCGATTCGATTCCGATCTTCGGGCGATCCGATGCGGCCCGATGCTTGCACATGGGCGCTGATCTGCATCCCTGCACAGCCGATCCGATCCGACTTCGACTCCGTGACGATGCAGCCCGATCCCCAGAGATGCGGTGTCTTGAGTCTTTCAATCTGGGCTTCCTGGAAGTATCGACCCACTCCGCGGGACCCGCTTTCCATCCAGAGTCGTTATCTGACGGCCCCAGGGCTTGGCGAGGGCCTCTAGAGGTCGAAAGCGGCGAAACATCTGCGTCTTGGCTGTCTCAATGCGTTGGACCGCTGGGCCCGACGCACCCTTCGACTCGATCCGATTCGCCGGCGTGAGGGGCGAGGCCGGCCCGGCGGAGCACGGCTGGGGGCCTGCGCGGGGGGGCGGCGGCGCAGGCGGCTGCGGCCCGAGGGGGGTGGGGGGGGGAGGAGGCGCGCCAGCCTCGGACAGGCGCCGGGGAGGCGGGGAGAGGGGGCGTGGCAGGCGATGGCAGACATGGAGTCAGGGGGCGTGGGTCAGCGGCGGGCCCCGCTTCCACGGGACATCGCGGATTTCCGCCGCCGAGCGAGGCGGCACCGGCCGCATTTTCGGGAGGGCACGTCCCCCGATCCATGGAGTGGGCGACCGCGCGCCAAAGCCGTGGATCGCTATTCCATCTTTGCGCGCCCCCGGAGGAGGAGGGGGCGGAGGCTCAGCCCCAGGCTCGCGTCGTGGGGAGAGCACGGCGGGAGGTCTGGAGGAGGAGGGGGCGGAGGCCCGGCCACGTGCTCGCGTCGTGGAGCAAGCACGGCGGGAGGTCCTTGGCCGTGTTCGGCCTCCGGGGGACCTCGAGAGGCCGGCAAAACACGGGTCGGAGTGGAGAGCCAGCCGCGGGGAAGGGATCGGTACTTCCAGGGAGCCTGGGCTGCAGAGAAGGAAGGAGACATCGTATGTTTGTAGGGGGAGGAAAGGAGGAGAAGGAGGAGCTTACTTGTGGGTACACATTGTCTTGAATCTTGAGCTGTGACCTCATCCTTTGGAGGTGGAGGAAGAAGAGGAGGAGGCGAAGAAGGAGGAGGACGATGGCAACAGGGCATCACCGCTCGACTATTTCCGCGGCGTTAGCCTCAGGAGGAGGAAGAGGAGAAGGAGAAGGAAAAGGAAAAGGAGAAGGGAGGAGGAGGAGGAGGAGGAGGAGGAGGAGAAGGTGGAGGGGGAGGAAAGGGAAGAGAGGGAACATGCGGAGGAAGAGAAGTGGGCTTGCCCTCGGAAAGCCTCGACAGTTTTGGCTGTTTATTTTCCTTGAACACGTGGAGCATTCTTCATCGGGCCTCGCCTTCGGCGCACCCCGCCTTCGGCGGAAGCCAGCGGAAGCAACAAGGCGGCGGGCCTGCTGGCTGAATGCCAGAGTTTCTGAAGTTGGCCCCTTGCTCAATTCGTTGCGGCGCCCAGCGCCAGAGTGCCAGAAGGCGCTGGGGTCCCAGACGTCTGGCGGCCTGCAAGAGCCGCGTCGGAGGTAAATCCAAAGCGTTCGGCGTCGGGGGGCCGTCTCCAGGCGCCAGGGGGCGTCAGCCGGCGACTCGCTGAGTCAAAGTCCGTTCAAATCGGGCCCCCGGGCCCCTCCCGGGCGGGGCACACTGGCCAGAGCTTCGAGTTGCGTCCAGCCGTGGCGACGAGAACCTCCAGACGCCCCCAAAATCTCCGACGTGTCGACGGCGGCGACGGGGCGAAAAGATCAGGGTGCCAGAGGCTTGCGGGGGGCACGAGGAGGACTGGGTCATCTCGAGGGTTCTCGCCCTCAGCTGCCCCGATACGCCCGTTTTGCAACGCAATATTTACCGCGCTCAAAACGTTCGTCGATGCGTTGCGTGTTGGCTCCACGTGTTGGCCCACATTTTGCGTGTTGCGTATCGAGGCGGCCAAGTTCTCGCCCGAGCGCAGCTCGGCGAACTCAGCTCGGCGACCGCAGTCGCGCTGGTCGCATCCGGTCGTGCCCTCCGCGCCACGCGGCCGCTGCGGGCCGCCGCCGCGAGGAATTCACCGACACCTCGAGCGGCCACGTCTACTACTACCACGCGGGCCAGAAGGCGTTGGGGAGACGGGGCGGGGGTGCAAAGACCGTCGACATGCCAACGGCGATGTAGGCAACGGCGATGTGGTCTTCGGCGTGGTAGGCGGAGGGTATTCGTGGCCAGCCCAGTTGTTGGGAAGGTTAAATCGCGATTCTCTGTAATTGATGAGGAAGTCTCTGGCGAGAGCGCGATTTCAAAGAAAATGTTTCCCAGCGTGGAACCCACAAAGGGGTGATCTAGCAGACTATTTGGTACAATCGACGTGGTGCAATTCACCCTGCCGAACTTATAGTTGTCAACTCCGCTGCTTGCGCAATCATCACACCCACCCACCCGCAACTTGGTTTGCAAAACCCATGCGGCGGCGATTGCGATGACTGCACGGCGCTGGCTCGCGCGCAGAGCGGCTAGCTAGTCTGGCACAATCGACGCGGCAGCAGTGGCGCTGACCGCTGGGCGCTCCCCAGCGCGCTTCGCAGGCTGCGATGACGCGCGGGCACTTCAGCTCGAGTCTGTGACACGGGCGTGCGCGGTATCATGGCGACGCCGACAACGGCAGACATGATGATAGTAGCGTCGATGGCGACGACGATGACAAAGACGATATCAAGGCCAATGACGGCGCCGATGCTGATCACGCCGATGACGATGACGGTGTCCACGCGCCGGTAGTGAAGGTTTTGGAAGGATTTCGACACGCGCGCGCGGCCGACGGGCGCGAATGGCCCGCATGGTATTATTTGAAAAAGGATTGTGCTCCCCTCCAGCACGCGCGCAAGGGCGCACGAATGGTTTCGACACGCGCGCGCGAGAGGCCTGTTTGGCTGCATGTGGTAATCATGTTGAAAACCGATCGTTGTTTGATGCATTCACAAGAGCGCGCGCGCATCCTTCTTATAACCACAAACATGATGCAAAACCCTGTGCTGATGTGTTCTGGGACACTCGTGCTTAATAGTCGTCACGAAACATATGGTTGTTGAAGGGTTTCGGCATGCGCGCGCCACGCCGCGCGCGTGTGGATTTGGTATCATCATTCACACGAGGCTATTGAAAACAAATGTTTGTTGGAAAACGAGCGCACACACGTAATGTTAGTATACGAGCATCAAGGGGGGAACCGACCTGGTTGGGATGGTATGGGTTATTGTGCAGTCGAAGTGGGGCAATATGTTCAGTGCAATATATGTGGCGCTTCGAATATAGCACAAGCTATGTGGTGCAATCTACGCTGTCCAGTTTACGTGGTGCATTCTACGTAGTGCAATCAATCACTTGCTCAACTTGAAGCTGCCCTCTCCACTGTTCGCGCAAACATCCCACCCTCCCACCCGCAACTTGGTCGCAAGACCTCTTGAGACAAGGCCGTGACGGTGAGTACCAGATGGCACTTGGCCCCGACACCGACGCCGACGACGACAGCGACGACGGCGACGACGGCGCCGCCGACACCGACGACGACGACATTGACGACGTCTCCAACGACTTCGACGACGAAACGGACCACGACGACGACGACACCGACGACGACGACCACGTCGACGACGACGACGATGACAACGACGATGACGCCGACGACGACGACGCCGACGACGACGACGAAGACAACGACGACGACGACGACGACAACGACGTCGCCAACGAAGACGACGACGAGGCAGGAGGGAGGACGACGACGGCGACAACGACGACAACGACGACAACGACGAGGGAGGAGGGAGGACGGCGACGACGCGAACGACGAAGAAGGAGGAAGGACGGCGACGCCGACGACGACAACGACGAGAGAGGAAGGAAGACGACGACGACGACAACGACGACGACGATGACGACGACGACGACGGCGACGAAATAGGAGGGACGACGACGAGACGCCGACGACGGACGACGACGACGACGACGAGGGAGGAAGAGGAAGGACGACCACGGCGACAACGACGACGGAAACGACCACGACGCCGAAGAGTACGACGACGACGAACACGAGGAAAGACAGAGGACGACGTAGGCGACGACGACGACGACGACGACGACGCGGGAGGAAGGAGGACGGTGGCGACGACGACGACGACGCAAGTGCGCGCGCGCACGCTTCTGTTGAAAATCCGTGTTGCGAAACCTTGTGTTTTTGTAGGTTTTTTGGACACACGATTTTGAAATCCTTCCGAAACCGATGGGTTTTGAAGGATTTCGGCGTACGCGCGCGACGACGCGCGCGTCTGCGCTTCGTCATATGTTTTGCAAAGGATTCTCGCGACGGCACACGCGCAAGGGCGTTCGACAGATTTCGACATGTGCGCGCGCGAAGCCCGTTTGGTAGCACCTTGTGAAAATCTTGAAAAAAAACTTATGGTTTTCTCAAGATTTCGCAAGAGCTCGCGCGTAAGTTTTTTTTGCAAATCACTGTTGAGAAATCATGGGTTGTTGTATGTTTTTTGGAAACTCGATTGCGAAATCCTTCCGGCACCGAAGGTTTTTGAAGGATTTCGGCATGCGCGCGCGACGACGCGCGCGTGTGCACTTCGTCTCACTTTTGCAAAGGATTCGTGAAACAGTGTTATGTTAGAACAAAAATATCACAACATAGCGTTTTTTATATCTATACATATATATACATAAACAAAAAAAAGAGAGAGAGAGAGAGAGAGAGAGAGAGAGGGAACCTCAGGGGGGGATACCGGCCCCCCGAGGATAGTGTAAATTCATATTTTCGGATGGACATGTGGCCATAATCATATATGGTTTACACACCCGAAAGGGGGAGTGATAACGCCGGGGGGGGGTAGATCAAATTTTGTTTTTAGAAAGGAGAATTGATTTGCCGAACTTGAAGTTGTCAATTCCACTGCTCGCGCAATCATCCCACCCACCCACCCGCAGCTTAGTTTGCAAAACCCATGCGGGAACGATTGCGATGAGTGTTGGGTGTTGGCTGGTACATGTCTGCGGCCGCGCGAGCCCGCGCATGCTCGCGCGCGCAGCGGCCAGCTAGTTCGACGACGTCGACGACGACGAAGACGACGACGACGCCGACGCCGACGACGACGACGATGACGACGACGACGTCGCCAACGAAGACGACGACGAAGACAACGACGACGACGACGACGACGACGACAACGACGTCGCCAACGAAGACGACGACGAGGGAGGAGGGAGGAGGACGACGGCGACAACGACGACAACGACGACAACGATGAGGGAGGAGGGAGGACGGCGACGACGCGAACGACGAAGAAGGAGGAAGGACGGCGACGCCGACGACGACAACGACGAGGGAGGAGGGAAGACGACAACGACGACGACAACGACGAAATAGGAGGGACGACGACGAGACGCCGACGACGGACGACGACGACGACGACGAGGGAGGAGGAGGAAGGACGACCACGGCGACAACGACGACGGAGACGACCACGACGCCAAAGAGTACGACGACGACGACGAACACGAAGAAAAACAGAGGACGACGTAGGCGACGACGACGACGACAACGACGCGGGAGGAGGAAGGACGGCGACGACGACGACGACGACGACGACGACGACGCAAGAGCGCGCGCGCACGCTTCTGTTGAAAATCCGTGTTGCGAAACCTTGTGTGTTTGTAGGTTTTTTTGACACACGATTTTGAATTCCTTCCGAAACCAATGGGTTTTGAAGGATTGCGGCATACGCGCGCGACGACGCGCGCTTCTGCACTTCGTCCAGTTTTTTGCTGAGGGTTCTCGCGACGGCACGCGCGCAAGGGCGTTCGACAGATTTCGACATGCGCGCGCGAGCGCGAAGCCCGTTTGGTAGCACATTGTGAAAATATTGAAAAAAAAAACCGTTTGGTTTCTTGAGATTTCGCAAGAGCTCGCGCGTAAGCTTTTTTAGCAAATCAGTGTTGCGAAATCATGTGTTGTTGTATGTTTTTTTGGAAACTCGATTGCGAAATCCTTCCGACACCGAAGGTTTTTGAAGGATTTCGGCATGCGCGCGCGACGACGCGCGCGTGTGCACTTCGTCAGATTTGTTTGCAAGGGATGCATGAAGCAATATTATGTTAGAACAAACAATGTCCCCGCGTATTGTTTCTTACCAGGGAACCTCAGGGGGACCGACCCGGGGCCCCAGGGATAGTGCAAATTCAAATTTAAAATGGACATGAGGTCAGAATCGTATATGATTTGCACACCCGAAAAAGGCACGGATAACTCCGGGCGGGGGAGAGTTTATTCTTTTTTTAAGAAAGGAGGATCTACGCGGTGCAACTCACTTTGACTGTCTCGAAGTTGGTTCCTCAACTGCTCGTGCGAACATCCCACCCTCCCACCCGCAACTTGGTCGCAAGACCTCTTAAGACCGTGACGGCAGGTACCATTTGGCACCTGGCAGCGGGCAACGACACCGACGCCGACGACGACAGCGACGACGCCGACGACGACGCCGACGACGACTACGACGACACCGAGGACGACTCCGACGACATCGACGACGACGACGGCAACGAGGGAGGAGGGACAACAACAACGACAACGACGACGACGACAACGACGGACGACGACGAGGGGGTGGAGAGCTCCGGCGAACAAGACGTGAGTCGAGAGCTTCTGGACGCCGACGACGCCGACGACGACGACGAGGGAGGAGGGAGAACGACGACGGGAACGACGACGACGACGACGGCGACGACGACGCCAACGACGACGACGACGACGACGACGACGATGGCGCCGACGACGACGACGACGACGACGAGCAGGATTTCGGCATCCGCGCACAGCGGCCGCGCGCATGTGCCCCGCATAGTGTTTTTTTGTTTTTTACAAAGGAGTTATGGCCCCTGGCAGGCGCGTGGCCGATGTTAAAGCAGTTCGACGCGCGCGCAAAATTTGTTCGCATGACCGAAATATTGAAAACCCATTGGTTCTTCAGGGTTCGGAAAGCGCGCGCGGGTAGACATTGGATTTGTTCTGCCGAATTCTTCGCGGCGGTATGGTACGATTCTGCTGAGGGAAACCGTAGATAGAA